GAAAATCCGGCGAGGCTCGATCGGCGAATAGCGACGGGGCGAGTAAACAAAAATATCAGCGCGCGAATAAAAATGTAAATATCGGCGTCGAGAAGGGTTAAGGGTCGCGGGATTTTTTATCTGGGATGAAATTACTGGGAGTGGAGGTGGTGGTGCGTAAATACATTGTAGAAGCGGCATAGCGGCGCACCCTCGCTCAATTTGACTTTTATTTATATCCTCGTGGGGATAAAATGGGCATTGCTATCGCCGCGCCCGTCAATTGTGCCCTGTCATCCCTCGTTTCGGCTTTGGCCCGCGCGCACCCGCCGCGCGGAAACGCGCCTCGGCGCAAACAAGTGTCTCCATAAGTGATCATCGCCCCGCCTGCCCCCTCCTCCCCCCCTTTAAATTGCGACCATCTCGTGCGTTCGCGTTTAATCGACGAGCACGGAGAATTGAGGTGACCGGCGTGTCGCTAGTGTCGTTCTTGCTCGTGTGGGAATCGGGTGAATTGTACGCGAGTTAGTTTCCGTAATGGGGCGCGTTTATCTCCGCGTGTCCTGAACGCGGGCTATAGGGTGATACTGATAACGATAGATTTAATTTTTTTCATTCGNTTCATCTTTTCTCTCAGTGAATGTGAAATTTACGTAGAGAATTTAGATATATTTTTTTCTATAGTTTCCTTGTTTTTCTGTTTGGAAGTTTTTTTTTTTATGAGAAAGACTTTCACTTGATTATCGACTTGAGGTCGAAATTGTTGAGAATATTTGAGGAAATTGGAATTATTACAAATTTTTATTTATTGATATAAGAGATGTTTTTATTTTTTTTTCATCTTTTCTCTCAGTGAATGTGAAATTTACGTAGAGAATTTAGATATATTTTTTTCTATAATTTCCTTGTTTTCCTCTTTGGAAGTTTTTTTTTTATAAGCGAGACTTTCATTTGATTAGCGACTTGAGGTCGAAATTGTTGAGAATATTTGAGGAAATTGGAATTGTTACAAATTTTTATTTATTGATATAAAAGATGTTTTTATTTTTTTTTTTCTTCATCTTTTCTCTCAGTGAATGTGAAATTTACGTGGAGAATCTTTCGAGAATCTAGATATATTTCTTTCTATGGTTTCCTTGTTTTCTTCTTTGGAAGTTTTTTTTTTATAAGCGAGACTTTCACTTGATTATCGACTTGAGGTCGAAATTGTTGAAAATAC